TCAACGGTCGTTTTATTACGCTCAAGCGCGCTATGGTTATTTGGGTGTAATTGACCTATCGTTTCACAAAATCTTATTTCCCCCACGCAACTTTAACAATGCTAACACAGTTCTTTAGCTTTAAAAACCTTTTTACCATATCGTGTAGACTCCTCCATCTAGTCTTGCTATCCAACTTCAAACTTTATTCTCTTCCAAACTGATCTTTTACATTATTTTCCAAATAAATCTTATTTTTTAGTGAAAACTTTCTGATCAATTTTACAACTTTACAGACTTTGTTAATTATTCTTTATATTCTTCCACTATTCCTTTTAAAAAAGCTTCTTCGTTTGCAACTTCGGTGAATGCTTCGTCATCCTATTCATCCGACGAAGAATCCTCCTTTCCACTTTCAGTCTCAGTTTCAATTTCTTCCATTTTATCGTTTTCTTTTTTCTTATAAAGACCGCTGACTGAAGGTCATGAAGATAAAATAGCCGTTGTTTTACAAGAAAGGCGCTTATTTAAACAAAGTAAAATTTTAAATGACTTTTAAAATTTCAACTCACCGACATCTGGCCCTGCAATTAACTGTTCCCCCGATCTTATCACTGCACTAGCACCATTAATACAAACGACTACTATACCTTTTTGGAACGACAAATTAAATGACTTTAACCCTTTTCTGAAATTTCGATAATATTCTCGGTGGACAATTTTCCTTTCAACGGAAGGAGTTTTAAGTTGTAAACATGGTTTGAATTTGAAACAGTAATAAACGTTTACATTTATGTAGCTTTGGTTTCTTTTAGAGGTCCATTCGTCTAACGTTATTGAATATCTACGATAAAAAAGAACTTATAAATGCAATTTAAATTAAAAAAAGGGGAAAATATTACCTATGATGGCGAAGCAACGCAAGAATTTCCTCATTTAAACGGAATTTCCTTATTTATTACGATACTTTTAACAGTATGGGCCGCATCCGGTAAAATATGTCCCGATTCAATGTCTAACTTTCTTAAATTCATCGGAGTAGTAAAAGATTTAAATGGAAAACCATCTAAGGCCACCATTCTCGATATCATCATCTCAGTGCTTTCGTTTTTGAAAGATGGAAAATAATCCTCCAATTCCTTTTTTTTGGTGAACGAGTGATGTCGGCTTATCAAGATTGTCATCCGGATTTATTTCCAACTTCGCTCCCTTTTCAGTACTACTGGATGGTGTTAATTCTTTTGTAAATTTTAAATCAATCTTATGAACGGTTTTCTAAATTGAGTATGTAATCCTTTTATCGATCCAGCACTTAATTTTAGAACTCTGGAACTTTGCACTTTGCAGATTTTTATCCGTACTTTTTAAGAAGTCCAGGGAGATGCTGGGCCCCACGTGTTCAAAGGAAATACTTTCATCGTAGTAATAAAGGGACAGCATCTAAATATGGGTTACAAGTGGGTTACAAGTTTAATTTTGTCGAAAATTAACAGTGTGAGTTTATTCCCGTTATAGTCTATTTTTAAAACCACGTGACAAACGATACTGAACAGAACATGTTCGTGTTTTTAAATCATAAGAACCTCATAAGAACCTCATAAGGAAAAAACTTTTAAAATCACGAATGAAAGGATTTGAAATTGATTTGTGTGGACTTTTGCAAAAATTAATTAATAAAATAATAAATTACAACTTTATTTTCAATCCCGCAAAGCGCGGGATCCCGTGGGATCAAGTTTGCATGCCCTAACTATATCGCAACATTGATTAAAAAAAGTGTTTGGTAAGCGGTTTTATCAGATATATTATTAGTGCTTCTAGGCTTTAACATACTTTATATTAAATTTCTAATATATACTATAATGCTTTACTTCTTTGTTTATATTTTACTATTTCTTGATGTTTTAGACCTAAAAGAGCCTTGAAAATAAGAAAAACGGTCAGTTATGATAAATTAAAAATGAGCTAAGAAGTTAAGTTTATAAAACTAAAATAGATGGGTGACATTGACTGAAAAACTATAGATTGGTTATTTAGGCGACTAGACTGAAGTTTAAACTAAAAAAAAATATGTGCTAATAATAATAGAAAGCTTTACCTACCAAATTGTCCTAGCAATTTTAAGAAGGAGAAGTCTTCTATAAATTAAATTTAATCGATAATACTGCTAATGATGGTATCAGTATCATTGGTAAATTAGAGAGCTAGAAATGTATTTTTGGTTGACTAGATATCAAAGGGTAGTTATATACTTACGACAGACTTGGAGAGCACTCTGAACTTATTAACATTGAAAGTTAATATACTATACCTGGGGTGAAACACACAAAATCCCCTCGGTACTGTCGAGTTAATTGTTGTTATAAACCGAATCCTAGCAAAAATATATTTAAACGTAAATAGCCAGCCTTAGAAAGGTATTCATGTACTGTTAAGAGGGAGGTATTACAAAAAATTTAGATGTAGGCTAGTGCACCTCGAGTCTCATGCACTGTCCGAACCAAAAAGGCAATTAAAAGTGAATCTTCGAAAAAACAGAAACTACGGAAGATAAGTGTGTAAAGAAGTTTAGGCTTCAAAAACTAGAGAATGTGAGGACTGCGACGCTCGAGAAGTAGAGTTTAAGATCAAAAGTGTCGAGCTTTATTAAAAATTTGATGACACTGGGAGAAAATTGACTAGTTTATTAGTGGCTCATCTGTAATATAGTCGAGTGGTTTACGAGTAAAGGTGTAACGAAAGCGATAAATAGAACATTAGCAAAGAAAAATATTTGAGCTAAAACTGTAATACTCCAGGGAAAGCAGGGCTATGGTACACTATAAATATTCAAGAGTATCACTCTTAAATTATAAAGAAAAAATAAAGTACAATTGCTTTGGCAAGGTTTAATTACTTACGTTGACTTTATGTACATTAAAGAAATAAATTATATAAGACTATTTATTTTTTTTTCTTTTCTAATTTATTTAGGTGCATAGGCTTATTCCGTCATATAGGGGTATGTGTAGGAGCAGAATTAATATTTAACTCACCAACTGAAAGAAAATTAAAAATAAAGATAATCATGTATCTACTCTTACATCGGTTGACTGATAAGTCCATGACAGTTTAGAGTTTAACAGGTTAAATACGTAAATCCGTCATGTCGGTCTTGAAAGTTGTCGTGGTAGTTCAGCGGTTAAAAGCATTAACGCGCAAAACTCAGATCATTGGCACGACTTCCTTTAACGCGACTCTTCTTTCGGTTTATGTTGGGTAGCGAAATAACATTGGCCCTCACAATATTGTCATAGATCGCTATATAATAAGAAAAAATCAAGAAATTGCAAGCAAGTTTTTAATTATTAAAAACATTAACCTACTTTTCGTTCAGGGCACATTGGCAACCCTTTCGCAAGCTTAATCCAGATTGGTTTTAACGTTTCCTTACGATAAACAACCTGTAGAGATGCACCCGAGATAATGCAAGTCCAAAACTATTAAATTGTTTCACATCTCCTTTGCGGAGAGGTTAAGAAGGTTCAAATCTTGTCTCATAATAAAATAAAAACAAGAGAGCCGCCAAAAAAAAATGCGAATTTTTTTGTAAATTTTTAATTAAAGTATACAATGATTAGCCTTCTATCGCATCTTGCCATAAATGGGTAAAGCAATAAGCTCAAAAAAGTTTAGTCATCTGTCTACCTTGAGCTTCGTTTCTTACGTTTATGTACTAGCTTTTTTAAACCAACCTTTTAGGGAAGGGCAGTCGTTTGATATCCTTCTTCATTTAATTTAATGTAATTGGGTAAAAAAAATTGCTAAAAAAGGGTGTTTATTAGTTGGATAGCTCTCTCGATATATTTGTTAGGACTTGATAACTTGATATTCTTTCCTCTTAAGGAGTGCGTCCACATTTTGGAGGGGTGGGAAATCTAAACAATACTAAATTGTCAATTGTGCCAACCAATAAAATTCAAGATCTCAGCCAATGAACATCTTCGTTTTTATAATTATTATAATTTAGAATTATTTGAATTTTGAAAAAATTAATTTTTGTCTGCCAATAATCTTGCTTGGCTGTTGCTATCAATATTTGACCACGTTTAATTTTTTGTGTTTTCATATCAACTTAAATTTTGGTTCTCTGACGTTATAGGGTCCATTAAACTCTTTGAGAACTAAAGATAGATATTTTAATAAAAAGAATCAAAAAAAAAAAAGTAAAGGCTTAGAGGAAGATGAAGGTAAGGCACATCTAAGTTAAAGCTATGCACAGGTGAGAATGATATTTAATTATAAGCTTGTGATAGAGATAGATTTCGAACTGGAAACAAAAGAGAAAGACGCTTAAATGTACAAAAGATTACAGACACAAAGTCTTGCTTAAGGTAGTATGCCTTAAATATTAGTCATAACGCCACTACAATTATGAGTAACTTAAAAAATGCAATGATCGCAACTAAACTACTATGACCAAAGAAAAGCTGGAAACGTGAGCTAGACTAGGATATTCTTAAGATAGTGTTAATAATATTATTTACTGAAGGCTTGGGAAGCTACTTGCACCTAGAATTAATAGAAATTGTCATTACTTATCAAACAAAAAACATCACTCTATTCAAGGTTGTGTCTTCCTGGCGAATTGCCGACAATTCCACAAACATAAGGCTATTTTGCCATGTTTTCTTCAAAGTGTTTGCAAAGTTATGTGCTACTACTGAACCGCTATACTTTTTCCAGCAGCTATCGTCAGTCGTTAAGCCTCACCTACTATCCAGCAAAAAGGAGGAAGACGTTAAGGGCCACGACCGTTAAATAGTGTTAGTTGACAATTAAACCAGTTCCTTTAATTAATGCCTCTATTCCATTACTTTTAAAAGACATAATGATAAAGTAAAAAAAAAGCCCTAAACTTTATGTATATTACCTAATATTTTTAAAATAAATACAGGCACCTCGTAATATTTTTAAAAAGCTAAAATAACTTTATTATAAATTCAACAAGAAATTTATCACAATTTTTATAATTTGAAAATGTACAATCACTTCTTCTTTTGAGACGTCACGTTGAAATGAAAGTGAACAATATCGCCATCTTTAATAATGTAAGACTTGCCTAATAGTAAAAATTAACAATAAATATATAAATGAAATGTTAACAATTAACGAAATAATATTGAAGTACATTTTGGGTTGCTTACCTTCTTGGCGTTGCTTTCCAGCCGCCCGAACGCCGGCCATTCCGTTTTTCCCATACTCTTTCCAATCCTCAAAACTAACCACTTCGGCTTTAATAAATCCTCTTTCAAAATCAGAATGAATTACTCCAGCGGCCTAGACAATAAAATAATATAAACTTTTTAACTAAAAAGGGTTAATTATAAAGTGCACAAGTAAACCTGCGGAGCTGTAGCGCCGCTCAACACTGTCCAGCACCGAACTTCCTTCTCTCCTGCCGTTAAAAAGTGAATCAAGCCCAACTCGTGATAGGCAACTTTAATAGCTCTGCAACAACAATAATAAATACACAAAAACAAGGCTACTGCTGCAAAAAGGAAGCTTTATAGTAAATAATATAAAATATAATTCCCAAGATACTTTTGTTAGTGTAATGCTAATTTTCAAATAAAATTATTAATGTTACATTATAAACAGAGCAACAAAAAAAAGGGGTTTTTTATATATATAAAATAAAACAAAACGATTAGGCGAGATGCACTAAGGACCTGGGAAGCACACTTTTGGCTGTCTTTACCGCCTCATTATAGGCGAGTGGGTCATCGCGCATCTTGTGAAGCGCCTGCTCGTACTCCACACTCATGGGAATCATTGCACCTCCGCCGTGACCGTCAATCCAGCTTTTTATTTTAACAAGCCACTTGTTCTTTTTCCGCACGAAGTCTGTTTACGTTGTATTAAAGTACTGTTAAAAAAATTACTGCACCGAACGAAAAAAAAAACATAATGGAAGGAGTGGCACTACACTACGTTGCAGAAAATAAGATTATGTCATGTGGTAGCCTTAATAATGCATGGACGCCAACTTGCACACAGCGGATCTGTGCCATCAGTAAAAGAACGCGTGCCTTGCAGTACTGTTCAATGATAGCGTGGCTGCATAATAACAACTTTAAATCATACTTATACCATTTAAGCTGACGTTTTCTATAATAATAGTGATATATAACCGAAAGCAAGTCAAAATTGGAATATTGATGAAACAAGTTAGTGGTTTAGGAGACGTTTGAACAAAAGGTACAAATTACGAAGAGGTTCATGTTTCATAATCAGAATGCTTGTTCAATTATGACTTACCGTTAATTTGTTAAATGTTGCCATGAATATGTATTACAAGTTTTGAGATTATTATTTCTTTAAGCGAAGTTTATAATCATATAATAAAAAAATAAATATGTGCTCAACTTCAAATAATAGGGATAATAATAAAAAAAGCCACCGCAACCATAAACCTCTTATACAACTACAATGACATAATAATAGTAATTCTAATTAATGGAAAAAAATAACCAATAACTTAAAGCGTAATAAAATTTTATATTTAGAAGGGGGCTTACCGTCCGCAGATAGGTTTATTAGGTAAACGCAGGGTTTTGTGGTGAGAAGCATGTATAGCTTTTTGCAGATTAGCTCGACTTCTGGAGTGGTCCATGCAGCGTCCCGAACAGGTTTATTAGCTTCAAGAAGAGCACGAACTTTTCCCATGGTTGTTGTAAAAAGTTCAGAGAGTTTATAGCCGGGACTTTTGCGCACTGAAGATTTAATAATTGGAGATTAATTGAATACCGAGTAAAAAAACTAGGAGAAAAGAATAGAAGATTATAATAACCATCTAACTCTTCGTCTTTGATAGCTTTCTCTAAAGCTGCGAGGTCCTTCTGGCAGAGCTCATGTGAAATGGTTTCCATATCACGTACTTTATTAATAATAAATTAGTATTAAAAGTATCTACTTTATTAATATGTATAAGAATTCAGTAAACGATTGGGACTCATGTAACGCCAACTTTTTTAATCAATAATTATAAATAACAAAATATTTTATTGCAACTACAGTAATCAATACGTTTCATTAGCTTTAAAGTAAATTATTCTATTTTTCAGCGGCTGATATATGATCCTCCTTATATTGTAGTCATGCGTCATTAGTTTACAAACCAGTTCTAATTTATTAGTTATGTCTTTATATTTAATTACTAGTAATTAAAAGTTAATAATATATAAAGAGGCTCTTGGTTATGCATATTTAAGAGTTATAGACTAAGTAACAGTAAAATAACCTTTATTCCAAAAATTAATATTATTTCTTAATTTTAAAAATATCCTTTTTATCCAAGAAATATTTTTATATAAAATTAAAATTCTCATGAAAGGCAACACTGAATTGATAAATAATATTTGTTAAAAATTGAGTATATGAATATCCTCCAAAACTCAATGACGTATTGAAAAAGTCTAAAGAGGTCTTCCAGTTTTGATAAAACAAAAAGTATAATACTTGGATCCACGGATTCTTCGACATGAAGAATCTCAGGAGCGTCGAAGGCGCGAACAATGTGAAAATATCCTTTAAAGTAAAGATGTTATATTAATAAAACTTTTCTTTTCACGCAGACAAACAAATTTATATGACATATAATCAGAATATTACATAATAAGTTTAACCATCGACAGCTTGGATATGAGATAAAAACGAGTTCCCTAAACCCTCACCCGCGTGAGCCCCTTTCACCAGCCCCGCAATATCGACGACGTGAAGGTATGCTGGAACTTCAGAGACTAACAGTAGTGGTAATAATATATTTTATTTTTATATAAAATATGCTACCTAAATAATTATTTATATACATGAATTTTACTTTATTAAGATAATAAATATACTCAAATAAATTTTTTACTTTATTATTATTGATTTTTAATTTTTCGCAGATTCTACAGACTAGTTTTTTTTTTTTAGAATTCTTTTAATATAATAACTTATTGTTTACTATTAATGATATATACACTTTTTAATTAAAATAGTATATGCCCTTATATAAAATTTTGTTAAATTTTATATAAAAACTTCTACACTTATTTAATTATTAATAATAACTTTATTTTTTATAATATTATTATAAAATATGTACCTTTTAACTTTCATTATTTTACTTTATGTAATATATATCGCGTTAAAACTTAGTTATAAATAATACTTTCATTTTAATTACTCTTACCATTTGTATTTATTGTAATATTATAATATTATATCTTGCTTGCTTTTTATTATTTAAGTTAAACAAGTATCAATATTTTTTTATATACACTATATTCGTTTAATATTTTTATATATTTTAATTTTTCTTAACTTTGATAAGTAATGTATAAAATAGTATTTAAATTTATGTAAGTCAATATTTTAATTTCTTTTATTAAATACAATACACACGTATAGTATATTTCATATGAAAATGATTATTTTTTAATAAATTTATACTTTTATATAAATACTTTATATACTTTAATGCATCTGATATTATTAGTAAATATTTTAATAAAGGTAATATGTATTCTGCGTCTTTCCTACATATTTTATTAAACCCATATTTACAAATCTACTCAAGGCTTTAAATATTTCTTAAGTTTGTATTTTTGCGTCCTAAAAAATAAATTATTTTTTGCTTTTTTAATGCATATCCGCGCACTTTAAGAAGTTAATTATTTACTTTTTCATAAATTTGATTTTGCGTATTTCTTAAAAGTACTTGCAATTTTTTACAAGGTTTATATTCTTAAGGGAATTAATACTAGTTTACACATATAGTAATAAATATATATATTGGGGTTAATAAAAGTTGCGCACTTTTTAACTGTAAAAAACTAAATCTATAAAAAAAATTAAAAGGAAAACAAGAAAATTCTATAAAGGCAGTTAAAAATTATCAAGATAACCGCAGAAACATAGTAAGCTACCGGTTATACATCTTGATATTTATAAACATTCACAAAAACTAAAAAAATTTAGTAGGTAATAAGTAAGTAGACTAATAAAACTTTATATTATATAATTATCATGTGGAAATGCTAGCATACGAGGTTTAAAATGCTGACAAAGGAAGTCAAATCTAGAATCGGCCACCGCGCAACGGGATTCATTTGGATCAATAGTACAAAAAGGAAAATTTTCAGCAGGGGCATTTTGTTCGGTTAAAAGATTAAAAAAAGAACTTTTTCCCACATTGGGCAAACCAACCTTTTGGTTTAAGATTACAAGGTTATAAAAATGTAGAAGGAAAAAAACATACTTAACTTACCAAACCAAACTTTAAATTATTTTTACTCCTGCCAAATCTTACAGCCCCTTTGGGTTCTATACTTTCCCCTTTATTTTTCGGTGGCATTCTAGTTAAAAGTGTTATGTGCCTAATATAAAAAAATAAAATTAACCAAAAAAAAACCAAAGCAAAGGAATACATACAAATGTTAACATTCCTAATATTCTATAAATGAATACAAAAATTTTTACACAGTAAACACCAAATAAAAAAGCAAAAGCGGTAAATTACAAACTTCTGAGTAACGGGTACTCCTAAAGTACACCCGTTTTTAAAAATTAGAAAACAATATAGCTATTTGCAAGATCACGTGTGGAGAAATACATGAGGGCAGTCCTGATGTAATTCAAACTATTTCACCAATGCCCGGTTTATCTGTTCTCAAAATGATAATTTTTTTAAAAAATAAAGTTGTATTCTAATAAAAACAAGAGTTGAAAAACATTTAAATGTTGTTAGAGCCTTTTCATATTTGACTTTCGCTGTTACTGATATGTTGTTAAGCATAATATTGCTTCCTTCATGCATCATTGGTCGCTTTTTAAAACCTGCTCTCTTTTAAAGTTAGTTATGAAATATAAAACCATTTTTTTTTTTGGCTTTCATGAAAGTTTAAACAGAAACATAACCTTTTTTTACGGATGTTTTGGCCTGTAAGGATGGAGTGCACGACAAAGTATTGGCACCCATCCAAAGTAAAGTAGATTTTCCTTATTAACTCCGCTAAAAATTTAGGTTCCATAGCGCGTGTTACGAAGGGCTTGCCTACCTTTTTTTTATCGCACAGAGCGAATTTTGCTTAAAAAGCGAACATATCATCTATTACATGACTGCCTTTAGTGTTAATGACATCGTCTAAGGAAGGTAGTATTAATAAAACTTTATTTTAACTATTTATGACCTATATTATTATATATATTATCATTAAAGTAACAGAGATCGATGATCCTTCTTTGGAGGAAAAACTTACTAATGAAGAGTATAGAATTTGGAAGAAAAATTCACCTTTCTTGTATGATTACCTTTTAACACACGCTTTAGAATGGCCCAGTCTTACTGTTCAGTGGATGCCTCATGTTCATAAGTATGGTGTCTACCTTATCTTTAACTTCTTTATAAGAGTTTAGATATTGCGGTTCCTACGTATTTACCAACACACCATTTCTTTAGCGAGTAAAACGGCTCATGATTCTTACTTATACTTTACTTATTTATTTTTTATTATCCTAAGAATTCCTGAAAATGATTATTATGAACATCGCCTTTTAATTGGTACACATACTTCCAATCAGGAGCCCAACCACCTAATGATTGCAAAGCTCCGAATTCCCGATAGGGAAGAAATTGACAAAGGCGTGGTCGATAAATCCGGTCTTTTTCTTAACTTGTGTTAACTATGGTTTTTCTTAACCTTCTCATATAGAATTTGGGTCTTTCGGACTTGACGAAGATATGTTTGTCATTGAGCAGAAAGTCAATCATGAAGGGGAGGTGAACAGGTCATTCCTTTATCAGATTTTTAACCTCTATAAATGTTTTATTCTCTGTAGAGCAAGATATATGCCTCAAAATCATTTTGTTATAGCCACCAAAGGACCGCAGGCCGACGTTTTAATTTTTGCCTATGACAAACATGAAAGTTCTGATCGCTCAGGAATTTGTAAACCTGAGTTACGGTTAAAAGGCCACGAAAAAGAGGGGTATGGCGGCTATATCAAAGGCACTTAAACTTACTCCATAACCGTATATACTTAGCTATGGCCTTTCCTGGAATTTGCAAACCAAAGGCCAGTTGCTTAGCTCGGCTGACGACAAGCTTATTTGCCTCTGGGATGTACAGGGAGATTCAAAAGAAGAAAAAATTTTGTGGGCTCTTAATAAGTTTTCTGGCCATACGAAAATAGTTGAGGTGTTTCAAGCTTTCTAAGACTTTCGTTAGGTTTTTATATTTTTTTAAAGGATGTGCAGTGGCATCCCCTTCACGGAAGCATATTTGGTTCAGTGGGAGACGACAAACGCCTATTGATGTACGTCATTCTTTTAATATATTTTCACCTAATTAAGGTATTTCTTTGGGCTTCCTTATTTATTATTTAAAGATTACCACGTTTACTAATAAATGTATATCCCATTCTTTAGCTCAAATTATTTAGAAGGTTTTGCCTAATCATAAGTATTAGCTCAAAAGGGTGTCTAATTCTAGTCTGCATTATAACTAAATTCTTACCTTTCCCCTCAACATTTTAGATGGGACATAAGGGAATTTGAATCAAGCCGACCGCGGCACAGCGTTGAAGCGCACACGGCGGAAGTCAACTGTCTTTCGTTCAACAACTTTTCCGAGTACATACTATGCACCGGCTCTGCAGACAGGGTACTCCACAGTTCCTTCCCAAATTTTTTTAGCCCCGCTGAGTAGAAAAACGTCTGCAGACGGTCGCCCTTTGGGACCTGCGAAACTTAAAGGCAAAGCTACATTCGTTCGAGTCGCACACTGATGGTCACCCATAATTAGCGCATCTCGTACGAGGCTTGCTTATGAATTCTTGTAGAAGTGTTCCAGGTGCTGTGGTCTCCCCACGAAGAGACCGTCCTGGGGTCTTGCGGTTCAGATAAACGTCTTAATATTTGGGATCTCAGCAAGATAGGCGAGGAGCAAACTGCAGAGGACGCGGAGGACGGTCCTCCGGAACTGTTGGTGGGTCATCCCATTAGAGTCTACTGAGTTGATGGTCGCTGACGGTTGAATACAGTTTAGGCACGGCGGGCACACTGCTAAGATCTCCGACTTTTCGTGGCATCTCGAAAAGCCCTGGTTGATCTGTAGCGTGGCCGAAGACAATGTCTTCCAAGCTTGGGAAGTGGTACCGCAGATCTCGTATACATAGTAATTATCCACGTAATATATACTTTTTAGGCGAAAGCTTTATACTCGGAAGAGGAACCCGAAATCGAGGCAACAGAATTAGAAGCCTAGAAGCTTCAATGTTAACGTGAGATTTCGTTTATAAAACTTTCTAAAACTCGTTAAATTACTTAAAAATCAAAGCGAAGGGCAATTCGAAATTTACTTTTAATAAAAATTTTTGCATTCCAATTTAACTTTCTTTTTCTTCCGTTATTGCAAAAAATAATTTCTAACATTTATTAAAAACAATCATACAAAGAATGAATGTCACTAAGATAGCTCATCTACTAAATAATATAAAAATTTGCTCAGTACAGTGCGTAATTTATTAATAAAAAAAAGCTAAAAACACAAACATCCGGATTTAGGGTGAATCCCTAAAAAGGTGAGTCTTTATAACCTCCCACATATTTTTCGAAGCTTCTTTCTTCGTATTTCTTACTTCTAAGGCCTTCTTTAAAAAGGGGTGATCCTCCAAGTTAAATTGTAAATTCTTCCTCAACTCTTTTAATTCAGAGATCTGCTTCTCAAAACAAGCTTTGCACAAGTGGTGCTGTAACTTAGGTGAGCCACAGATTTGACACTTAACTATATTTCGTAAGTTTCGCCCGTAAACTAGAGCATTACGAATTCTTTTTACAGTTTTCGTTGTTCTATTCTTAGGGGCTGCTAACAAAAAGCAGTCACCTAATAAGCCTTCTACTTTACCGTCATCTCTCAAAAAAGACCGATTATAAGAAATTAATCTATATAATGTATTGCATGAAATAAACAAAAAAAAAAGCAAAAGACAATAAACCCTTTTAAACAGGAAAAAATTGTTCCGTTTGAGCGATTAATGAGCCAACATAACCATTTGGTACGAATTAAAAAACACAAATTGTATATATTATCATAAAAGCTAAAATAATTGCCCACCACAAACCGAAAAAGCATAACAACGGTGTAATAAAACCTGGTTAAAAGATCTCTAGTGTACTCCGGTAGTAAGCACGTGAGGTGCTTAAGAATGCTAATCGTATGAAACTGTAACAGCCAAAACTCGAGGATACCTACTACTGTAAGGCGAAGGCAAGCCTGCATGAGTATATGAGGGCGAGGTTATTTGCAATAAACTAAAAGCTCCTAAAACATAAAATTTTTATGTAATTGAGAACATTTCTAACATATTTAATTTTCCCGAATATTTTCCACGTATAGAAGCCGTACAAACTGAAATTTTTATTCAACACCTCTTCTTTTATTTCTTCATTTAGTTTTGTTAGAGTGCGCACCCAATTAAAACCGAAAAAAGAGAACCGTTGGAGCTTAAGTTCGCGCGTCAAGACTTTTAAACACTGAGCTACGAGGACAACTTTCAATGTCGGACTATAGTAAATAATTTGTTACTCAAGTCTAGCTCTACTAAACCTCACTCCAGCGCCCTATTATAAAGGAACACTCGCCTTAACCTAATACGCGACAAGAGGATCGTAAGAAGTCGTCATTGTTACGATCCTAAGGTCGTGAGACTCTCAAAAGATAGTAAGCGCCAACAATTGAACTCTTTGAGAGCTAAAAATAGTAATAATATAGATGATAAAAAAAGGTAACTAATAAAAGCTTAAAATAAGTCGGTGGGGAGACCAACTAAGATACTATAACAAGATTGGGGCTAAGGCACAACTAAGTCAAAGATGTGAACAAGCGAGAATAAAAATTTTACATAAGCGCTTGATATATGAATAGGAACCTCGAAAATGGAAACAGTATAAGAAAAAGATTTTAAATAAGTAAGCGAGAGGCACTTACGCTATAGAGAAGGTAGTAAAATCAGGTGCATTGGTCGCAACTGAAATTAATTCCACAAAAAATCAAGCGGAGATGTTAGATCAGGTTACTGTGCATAAGGGACAAAAAGAATTTTAATCTTGTATCTAAAAAAATTCCCATCTTTAAAATTGTTTCTACTATTCGTTATGTTAGGACCAACATTCTGAATACTTTTTAGCATTTTTTTAAAATAAAAAGTCGTTTTATTTACTTAACAAAGCTGTCAGTAAAAGTTTCAATGTTTTTGTAACAATAAATCAGTTTTAAAAAAGTTAAAAATTGGGTTTAATAAATTGTATTATTTCAATAATTTTGTTGTTTACTGTGGTCGTCTTGTCTTCCAATTATACTTAAACCTTAATATACGCTTTTTCTGATACAAATAAAAATTTTACTAGTTTGCCCTCAGCATCGCAGGTATTAGGGTTCCTTCGAGATCAGCTCTCCCTCCAGCAAAGGACATTTTACTACTGTGCATACATTTAAGTTGTTTTACGGAAAACACTCAAAATGACAAAGAGATACTATGAATGTACTATATACTTTCACTGCTGAATTTAAATCTTTTACTTAAGATTTTTACCTAAGTTTTTCTCACAAAGCTTTCCTTTTAGTACACAGGACTTAACGATAAAATTTTGTTAAGTCTTAGCATATAACCCCAAGTGACATTAACGGTATTACGAAGTAATAAGAAAATTTTTTTATTTTGCAGAGCCTTTAAGCAGTAAAAAAAAAAACTTGCGAAAACTAGTTACTACATAGACCGTATGCCAAGTTCTTAACTTCACACTTAAGTTTTAAAGCGGTTTATGGTTGTGTTTACATGCCCTTACAACACAAAAAAATGTCTTTTATGGCATATGTAGGATATAAAAACCAAATGCCTTTCTAAATTTCCTATTTATCTGATATACGTTAGTATAGGTTTAAAAAGAGGTTTATCTATATTATATGGGGACTTGCTTAACCGTAAAATACTTTTTTAGTATCCTCTAAGGAAACTATTTCATGTCTTTCAAAAATTTAAGCAGTGATAGCAAACTAATAAAAAAAACTGATATCTCGACTGTATTCTTCTGTGGTTCAGTTAGACCTTAATTATGCATTTACACAAGATTAAGAATTCTACCATTTTGTATTTAATATATTGCAATTGTCAACTTGTTGCAAAAGGTTCAAACTATTTTTTGGTTCCCTTAAAATAGTCAAAAATTAATTAAGAAATAAAAGAAAATTATACAAATTTGAAATTTATAATTTAATAAAAGGGAAGAATTATGTTAACTGTTTTCGGAACACTTTTTTAAGTGGTGGGGCCTACGTTTCGTGTTTTTCTCTTTCACCTTACTTTTAAGAAAATTTTGTTATTAATAATTGGTTTTTCTATCAAAAGTTGCGTAAAATGCTATTTTTTACATTATTATAATATATGCTTCTTTGTATTTAAATTTTTATTTATCTATCCAATTTAACTTAGTTTTAAAAAAATGTGCATCTGTGTTTTTTCATATAATTACTTCTCTGAAGGCCCCTCAAGCGGTAGCACCAAATTACTTTCACTTTTAAAACGTGGTTCTGTCTTCGTACACAATTGTTTTGATATTATATGAAATGATAAGCTGTAAAAAAAGACTACTTTTTTTCTTATAAAAATTTTCTTAAAGACCTTAGTGTAAAAAAGGTTACGGGAAGTTCATAGTTATGCTAGATTTCTCTTTTTTTATAATTAAAGCTTGTATACATTAATATTAACTATGTATTGCACATAAATCTAGCTTACATTCTCCTCTGAATATCCTATTTTGGACATACTTCACCAAACCCTCAAAATGACTAACTGTTAGCACTGTAACCACTGTAGTTGCTAAGAAGGAACAGAAGGAACTCGAGGTGCAACTACATCTCCACCGAGAGTTTTGTTTTATTCAAGATATATAAAGTGTGTAAAATAAGTGTCACTATGACTTTGTCAAAGTTAGGAAAACTTTTAAGATTCAAATCAAATATAATGGCCACATAGTACACACATCTTACAGTTAGTTTTGAATTACTGAAAATCTTCTGTGAGGCCAGTTTTTCTATGATTTAAGGCTTTATTTCTCTTCTATTTAAAAGGCTGATTTCCGACGGAATTAAAATTTATTGAAAGGACATTCAAGATACTATATTTGGAGCTTCCAATGCTTAAAGCCCGTTTTTGGTGGGGGATAAAATTACATATTTTTATTTTTTAAAAGTTAATGGTAAGTCGCTTCTATATATGGCGTGTGTGCGGAAAAAAAAATTCTAAGTCGAAAGTTTTGTAAACTGAGCTAAGTACGGATACCATCAGAAATATTTTTTTTGCTATTAAGTAACGTATATAATGTTCAACACGAACAATTAACCAATAAGGCTAATGCGAATGAGGTTATAGGTTAGAATTTTTACTATTTTTTTTTAGGTGAAAGAGGATCTCGGAATTTTTTTCTTATAATTTTATAACTTGTATGATATAGAGAGTGACGAAATAAGTATATTTATGTTAAACATTATATTTAACAATTTCAAAAAACACATTTATTTTGGTGATTTTTTTATGTTACCACATGAGTTTAGAACCTGAGCATCAAAGAAGATAAACTTTGATATATATTTTCTCACAATTTAATTTTTAACTTATACTCTTTTCTTCGCAAGTGCCATATACTATAAATTAAGTTATAAAAAATTGCTTATATGGTGGTTAAGTAACTAAATTATGATATCTTCTTAGATTATACATTGATCTTTAAAAAAGGCTAATAAAAATACTTAACAAGATCCATAACAAGAATATTTTAAAAATTTTGAGCTTACCAGCCACATAACTATTATCTGTAATTGTAACCAGGAGGTTAGATACTTTGAAGTTTGGGAGCGCAGCTCTAATCAAAACCTACAAAACTTGATATGGTGCACTACCTTAATGTAGTATCCCTACTCCGACACTGTAATACGGGTATTATTTCACTTTTATATGCGCATTAAAAAATTAATTGCTTGTGATTTGTCAAGTCCAAAAAGTGATGCTTTCATAGTGACTTTTGGTTTACGATTTGTTCAAAAGAGTAGAAATCATTGCATTATGGCAATGCAAAATAAATTAATTGGCGATTAATCAGGTGTTAATACCATTTACAACCCACCATCATTTCCCAGCATGAAACTGGCGAAAATAACAAATTGCAGTTGAGATGAAGAGAGTCATGTTCATGTATGAGTTTACTAAGATGTTAGTAGATAGAAGCCCTTCTTTACAGCGCGCAATTTAATAGTTCAGTAACTACTAGCCGCCAAGCCCACTCTTATCCTCATGAACTGATATAAACAAATTTGAGA